TTCTGCACCCAAGAGTCTCTACTGTTTCCAAACATGCCTGACTCATGAACCAGCCATGCAGAGTCCTGTTTTACAATGTGCTGTTAGAAAGACAGTCTAAATGGTCGTATAGTTAGAATGCAATCGCCGTAGCTATCCTCAGTGACCTCATTTCAAGAGCACAGGAGAAAGCCAGATAACGATAGGCATCAGGTGTGGGTACAGAGCAGGTTTGTACGTTAGCGAAATGGCCAAGGTGAGCAGGAGGGGGTCCATTCAGTTCTGCAGAGACAGAGTTGCTCTTGGAGCTGGGAGATCAGGGTTCAAGCTCGTACTCAAGCCATGGACTTGCAAGGTGGCTGTGAGCAAGTAATGTGTCTTCTCAGGTTGAGTTCCCCACCTGCAAAACGGGAAGAACAGTGACCTGCCATCCCATGGGCCTACAAAGAACATGAACAAGTCAGGCGGAGGAAAGCATTTCACACAACAGGGCAACGGTTCTTTCTACTCTAGGGAAACAGCCACAGAAGAAGACACCAGGACAAAAAGCAACAACAACAAACTGCAAACGAGAAAAGGATCACAATATTCTTAAACACAGAGGAAGGACAAGATATTGCCAAGGCTGGATTTTTCCAGCAAGATTATCTGCCACCCATTCATATCCAGAAAATATGTGGCAGTGAAATGCTGATATTAACGTCACTGATAGATGTATATAGGACACAGATTCAATTTTAACTGAGCCATTTTTTAAAAAAAGAGAGGAAGAGGAAGCATTTATTTACTTACAGTATTTTTACCCAACCTTTCACCTTAAAAAGGACCCAAGATGGCTTACATCACAGAAAGACAATATTTTAAGCTAAAAAAAAGTATACAAATACTAAAAAAAATTCAAAACAAATGCCACACTAATAACTGTAAACAAAAGCAACACATTCAGGGCATTAAAGCACAACAACCCCTTTAAAAAAATCTCACTCGGGCACCTAGTCACTGAGGGAAAGCTTTCCTGAAGAGGAAGGCCTTCTGTCTGCCTGCAAAAGGAAAACAAAGACGGGGCCAGCCTGGCCTCCAGTGGGAGGGAGTTCCAGAGTCTCTGGGAGCAGCCACGGAGAAGGCCGTCTCTTGTGTCTCCACCAAATGTCCCTGTGAAGGTGGTGAAACCGAGAGAAAGGTCTCTTCTGATACGGTTATCAGAACCCTTTATGAAGCCAGCAGGTTCATAAAGGGAGACACAGTCCTTGAGATAGCCCGGGCCCAATGGAAAAGGACAAAATCACTAGCAGGAATTCTCTCACTGTAAACGTGATCATTTTTATCCCCACACATATAAACACACATCCTGGAAGCAATACAGAAACATAGGGTCAGGAGGGGAGTAAAGTAGGGTCAGGAGGGAAGGAAGGAAAAATAAAGTACCATAACTAATAAGGAAAAATGACTCAAACAAAATTTGAGCAACATTTGGAAATACTCCTTTATACTGCAGTAAGTTTTAAAAAATCAACATGTAATAATCAACGTAATCTCAAGATTAGACCACTGTAACGCGCTCTACGTGGGGCTGCCTTTGAGGCTGATGCGGAAACTTCAGGTGGCGCAGAATGCGGCAGCCAGACTCCTTACTGGAGTGAGAAAATACCAACACATTTCTCCAACTCTGGCCACACTGTATTGGCTGCCCATTCGATTCTGCATCAACTTCAAAGTCTTAATGCTTACTTACAAGGCCCTAAACGGTTTAGGACCTCGATTTTTTTTAATGATCCGGCGCCCACCGAGATCTACCCGGATCACCCGTGCGAGTCAGGAGGTGAGGCTGAGGAGCCTAACACTGAGAGAGGCCCGGAAGGAGAAGACACGAAACCGGGCCTTCTCGGCGGTGGCTCCTCGCCTATGGAACAACCTCCCTCCGGAGATTCGCACAGCACCTATGCTGGGAATCTTTAAAACCCAATTAAAAACATGGTTATACATCCAGGCCTTCCCTCCAGTCAATATCGGATTTCTTTCTATCTTCCTTTATTTTTTTCTTCTACTTTATTACAATTGTTTTTGAACGACTATGCACATTCTTGAGTTTATTGTTTTATCCTATATTGTAAGCCGCCTAGAGTGGACGAGTAGTCCAGATAGGCGGGGTATAAATCAATCAATCAATCGAATAAATAAATAAATAATATTTTGAACAGCTGACAGATGTAACTATGATGACTGTCAGCAGTGAGATCTTTTGTGAATTATCAGGTATATTCCTTGAAGACATGACTCTCACTGGAGGCAAGCAAAGATGGTCTCTGTGCACATGATAAGAGACGTTGTGGGTTGGTCAGAAAGGACGTAGAGAACACTGCACATATCCAGTAAATTTCCAGATAATATGGAAGGAAGCGGGGTGGCTACTGTCAGCAAAGAGAAGGATGAACACAACTATCTGTTGTTCTGACACATGCCCAGTGAATACATGCAGCAACGTAGCCCAACCAGGAAGATGAGGGGTAGGTTGCAAGGTAGGCCTATACAATATAGAAAAAAAAACACACACACAAACATAGTTTGAAGGTCAAGTTCTTTCTGAGACTCGAACACAACGGTATCAGGAATGTTTCCACAGACTAGAAAGAAGACACTAGAGACCATGTTCCCCTAAAGACCACAATGGCCCCTCCGTGCTTTTTCCCAACCACCCTTTGAGGGCAGTAGGGACACAAGATAGTGCCATCAAAAAGCAATAGCAAATGCTGGTGCTCCCCCTCTGTTGCTACTGCAAAGGAAATATCAGCCTTATCCAGATGTTACGAATAGAGTACAAAGACTAGAAAGAAGACACTAGAGACCATGTTCCCCTAAAGACCACAATGGCCCCTCCGTGCTTTTTCCCAACCACCCTTTGAGGGCAGTAGGGACACAAGATAGTGCCATCAAAAAGCAATAGCAAATGCTGGTGCTCCCCCTCTGTTGCTACTGCAAAGGAAATATCAGCCTTATCCAGATGTTACGAATAGAGTACAAAGAGGCAAGCTGGCAAAGGAAATATCAGCCTTATCCAGATGTGACGAATAGAGTGCAAAGAGGCTCTTCAAGCTGAGTGGGAAACCCCGCTGAGGATTTCCTACTAAATTGAACTCAGTACACCCACAAGCGATAACCAAGAGAGATACAATAACCCTGCTCTCCAAAAGTCTCAAGGGAAAGGCATGCCTACCATACCTCCTGGTCTCATCTCCCCAATTTTGGAAACTAAGTAGAATCATGCCTGGTAACACTTGGATGGAAGACCAGCAGCGAAAACCAGGGATCTCCGAGGAGAGCCCAGAAAGAGACTGGAGTTCTCCATGCAACTGGAAACCCTGCTTTATTGAAAGTTTTGACCCGATAGGTTTCTCTACTCTGCAGATCTCCCGTTCAGTGAAGAGAAGGCAGAGGAGCACTGAGGGCTGCACTATTATGCACAAGGATATTGGGGTCCAGGCTAGTGAGCAATCATGCAGGCTACCTGCACTCTTATTATGCAAAACTCTTGAACTGGGCTACCACCACTCCATAAATCTGATTTTATTACTATGAAAGCCACCATGGCAGAAAAGCAATTTATAAGCATTTTGAGGAGAATAAAATGCAATAGTAAATATAAGTAGGTAAAGGTTCCCCTTGACATTTAGACCAGTCATGCCTGACTCTAGGGTGCAGTGCTCATCCCTGTCTCCAAGCCACTGAGCCGGCGTTTGTCCGTAGACAGTTTCCATGGTCACGTGGCCAGCATAATTAGACATGGAACGCTACTGCCTTCCCACCGTGGGGGTACCTATTTATCTACTGGCATTTACATGCTTTCGAATAAGTAACATCTATATTAATTAATAAAATATTATTTGCACTGTGTGCAGGCACATGGCATGGGATATTCACAGGCTTCCAATCCATCCACAAGTGATACTTAGGAAAGGGCAACCCTGTTCACAGATATTCTCAGAGGGAAACTACATTTGTCATATAAAAAAAAAGCAAATTGTGCTGCTTATACCACTGTGTGCAGGCACATGGCATGGGATATGCACAGGCTTCCGATCCATCCACAAGTGATACTTAGGAAAGGCAAGCTTGAGCCAGCTACCTGGGATTGAACCTGGGTTGTGAGCAGAGTTTTGGCTGCAGTACAGCAGTTTAACCACTGTGCCACAAGGCTCTTGTGTACCATGTACTTTTCATATTGCATGACATAAACCTGTGGCTTCAAGCAGTCTCTGGGCGGTTTACAAGTTAATTATGCAGGCTACACATTGCCCTCCACCCCCCAGCAAGCTGGGTACTCATTTTACTGACCTAGGAAGGATAGAAGGCTGAGTGAAGCTTGAGCCAGCTACCTGGGATTGAACCTGGGTTGTGAGCAGAGTTTTGGCTGCAGTACAGCGGTTTAACCGCTGCGCCACAAGGCTCTTGTGTACCATGTGCTTTTCATATTCATGACATAAACCTGTATAGAGAGATATCAAGTAACATATCAGCTGAGATGCAGCCCACATTTTCACTGTTCTACCATGTTGTAGTATTTGTGCTGATACATTTCTTGACCCAAGCCAGTGTTTCAGAATGGATAGGGTTAACCATAGACTAGTTCTGCCACCAGGATAAAAGTGTAAAGGCAAGGGGGTTCTGGAAGGAAGAACATGACACTGTATGTGTCTAAATGGAAAAGATGGGTATTATTAACCTTCCTCGACTACGGGATTCTTACTCCTAAAACACCCAAGTCTTTTCAAGGAACAATACTTGTTTATTGAGTTAATTGAAAACGCTGCAAGGTCTCTGCTGCAGAATACAAAATTTCTTCCATTTCACGAAGAATTTCCAGGGTGGGCTCTTTAGGAAAAGCCAAGCAGGTTGGGTAAAATGAACCTCTTGCACAGCCTCGTTCTGAATGATGGCAGAACACAAATACGAAGCGCAGTCCTCCTCCGAGTCCAGGGCTAAGCACACATACATGTCTGACAATATGGCTAGCAAGCCAGATTTACCTGAAGAGTGAACTGTTCCAGTTTCATTTCGAGAGACCTGTTATCCTCTTCTAACCGGTTTCGTTCGGACTCCAGTTCCTCAATCTTTAATCTATGAGAAAAACGGCATAATGAACCCTTTCAATATATTTTGCTGGACTAAGATCAGATCAGCAGAGAAGTGCATTTCAACCAGGTGAAATGGTAAGCGATACACAGAATGCATGAGGCCAAAGGAGACTTCCAGCTTTAGGTTAGTAAAAGCCTTCTCCACCAGCCACCTTTGCCTCAGTTTCCAGGTGGTAAAGGGAAGTGAGCAGAGGAGCTGGTGTACTGTAACAAACACAACCAAGAGTCCAGTGGCACTTGAAGACTCATTGGTTGCATTTGGCATAATCTCCCAAGGACCGACCGACCAACTGCCCTACCGACCTACCTAGACCCACCTAACTACTATCCCACCTAGTGCCTACCTGCCTACCTACCCACCTACCTACTATCCCGCCTAGTCGAAGTCTACTCTGGGCAGCTAACAACAAGAATAATAAAAAATAAAACAACAACTTCTTCTCCCTTCTCCCAACTAAACTGTTTTAAACAATGTAAAATATTCCAAGGACTTGCTCCACCAATGAACATCCCTTATTTCACATATCACATCTATTAAATGCCCTTCTACTAGCCTAAACATTATTTGCACGACCCTACACTGTTGTTCCCCCACCCCATCCCTGTGACACAATATCACTTTTCAGAGATGGCAACAAGATGGCATGATTCTCTAACCACCAACCTACATAAAGACATTACAGTGCTGGTTAGATTATTCTCAGTTCCCATGTTTCAATCAAAGTCATGCCCTCAGTCTACTAACATGTTAGGCAGCTCACAAATGGCAGGATAAGGGAATGGGAGGTTTACTTTCAGAGGCAATGGGCATTCTGACTATGCTCAAGTGTGCTTCTTTCTTCATTATTATTCAGTTTGCTTCAGTACCGAGATAATAACATGCGTGTGTACTGCAGCTCTATGATTCAAACTACACTACAGATAGAGACAGCACCATTGAAGACTCTGCACCAAACTAATTATAAAGAGACCTTTCTAAAAGCCTTGACTGTTGAAAACATGAACAAGAATTTCAGCTGTGAAGATTGCTTCAAATCCCTAGAAGGGTTTTCCTGCAACAGATGTAAATGAAATTAAAATTATCCAGAAAAGCAGGCTCTGAAGGCATAAAAATGCAGCAATTTAAGACACCTTCATGGCCCTCTGAGAGCATTTTAGCTCAGAGGCAAGATTTCAACCAGGCTCCCTCTGCTCCAAGCGGTGTATCTGCTTTTTCCAGGAGGTTAGCCTCTCGAGATACATTCATCCATCCATACACATTTATATTCTAGACAAAAAGCGTACATCATATTATTGCAACAGACAAACAATTTACAAGATGCAAGAAACCCAACTTCAAATGAAGAGCTTGAAGAGAAAGAAGAGAGGGTATCCCACACTGGACGGCTTCTCCATGGTCATTTTCACTTACTTTTGGGCTTGTGTGAATTCACATCCCCTCCAGCAGAAAAACCAAACTCCTTCTGAATGACAATTAATATCCCTTATTTCACACATCACAGCTATTAAACACCCTTCTTTCTAAAACTTTAACCTGGAAATTGCGGCACAAAGTTTTCTGGTGCAAAAGGCTCCTATATCCCTACTCCAAAGAGAAGTAAGTCTTCCTGTTTTTCTGTTCTCATTCCTCATCTATGCCAGACTACTTTCCTGATTTGGTCAGTTAGGCCCTGTATAAGACATATGATGGCCTCAGCTGCACCAACCAGCCCCCCACAAGTGCAAACTGAACTGGCTGCTCCAGCACTGGAGAGCAGCTGGTCACTGGGGTCATTACGTGTTCCTACAGAATTCATGCCATACATTTCCAAAACCTCCTGTCTTCATTGAACCCTGTACAAATGCACTTTTCTAACAGGGATCCTTAAATCAATCTATGACAGAACCCCACAAAATTATTACAGACTGTTCTGGAGTTTCCTTTAAGCCGCACTCTCCGGCCATTACAGCCCTCTCCATGATGGTGAGCACACCATAGCTCGCACCCCGCACTGGCTGGCAACTGCATTTCACAGGAGTATGTGACAGACAGAAGCAATGAAGACATTGTCACCCAGCAATGTTTCCCTGCTGCTAGAAATCTTACTGGAGCACCCAGAACAGTTACTCACATTACAGGCTAAAAAACTGAACCTTGTTCAGGATTCTATCATATACATTTCAGCAGTACCATCCAGAGAAAAGACCAGTATCTTCAAGAATGCTAGCACAGGGACACAACACTGACAGACCAACATCCGGAGGAATCAATCGAAGAGTTGACTCACCAGATCCCCACTGATTCAATGGGCCTAACTCTGGTATGATTTACTACTCTAAGCAACAGGATTTTGGCCATAATCTCTTTGGCTGTGAAAAAGGAATTTGGACTTAAAACGCTACGGCCAAACACTGAGCATAGTGTTGCTGAGGGTGGGCCTGAAGCAACCAAATGTAGTAGGAAAAACTCTAATTTGGGGTAGACAAATTCAGGGAATGCGGGAGCCAATGTTTAACTCCTGTCACCCAGTGGGGAGAAAAAGAGGGGGGGGGGGGTAAGGAGGAGGAAACGGGGAGGAATAGAAGCAGAAAGGCCCAGATGGTCATTTTTGTGGGGGAGAAGGTGAGAAGGTTTTGGAGAACCTGCTTGAAAACTGCTGCTCTCTGAGGCTTTTGCACTTTTTGGGAGAAGGGGGGTCTGGAAAGCAAAGCCAGGAAGGCTTCTGGGAGATGGGGTGGATGCTTTCCCTACCCCTGCTCCAAAGCATGCCAAAGAAGATGAGGGTATTTGTAGCAGAGCAATTTTCAGCCAGTGTGACTAATAGATATTGGCAAGAACATTATTTATTTCGAATTACTGAAACTCTGCCCAGTTAATAAATCCATAGACTACACCTAGGATTTACTAAAGTTATTGCCTCACAGCAGAGAGAAAAATCTGAGACTTGTTCCAGCTGAATAAATCCCTTCATCTGCTTCTACTTAAATCTTAAGTGTGTGATTTTAAAATAAAATAAATAAACACAAAACAGCAACACAAACCGGGGCACAAATCCCTTGCTCCAACCAGGTTCTTCTGAAAATTTAGCCTTTGTAGGTTGGTCAACAAAACCAAATGCGGACTCAGCCCCTGGCCATTCGACTGTCATAAAATATGGTTAGCGCGATTTCTGGGAGGCAGGGTGCAGGTGAGGAACGGGCAGTGTTAATATTGCTTTTGTCGTCTCCTCAGAAGTAATAATGTTGGAAGAAAATTTCACATTTAACGTTATAAAAGGTTTGATGAAAAGAGCACTTTGTTCTCATGAGGAGAAAGAAGAGGGGAGGAAGAAACAGATAAAAGTCTTTCAAGCTTCCCAGGGATTTTTTTTTTTTACTTTCCATATTAAAGAAAAAGAAGACAAAAGGGTTTTTTAAAAAAACCCTCACACATAGGATGTGAATACAGATTTGTGGGATTAATATGGGTGCCTTTGTCCTCTGATTTCTGCATACACACATATATCCCCATTCATTCACAAAGAGAGAGAGAGAGAAAGCTTTCAACCACAAGGTCTATATGGAAGACACCTAGACCGTACAGAATCCTTTCCACTTTTTAAGTTTCCTTCTAATGAGGCTTCTCAGGAATGCTTCAGCAGAGAGGCAAACCAGAGGGGTTAACTACCATTTGGAGAGGCAAGGAAACTGGCAACCGAGGTTGACACGACAGCCAGGCACACAAGAAGAAACTGCAGCAGAAACAATGCTCTCTTGAACCAGGAGGGCCTTGTTATTCCTCCTTCCAAAAGGTGAGACCTTAGATTCCTCCTCCTCCTCCACTTGTTTCCCCTTTTCCCACTGTAGAGTGAATCTGCGGTGGAATATTGTGCAAGGAATAGATGTAATCATGACTGACGGGGCCTCGTTATGTCATGTCCCCTAGCAAAGAATACCTCTAGGAATGCCTGTCCTGGTCTCTTGTGTCCAATTCTGTGCACAAAGGAACACAGAAAGCTAGCTTCTTCTCAATAAATAATTGAGAATTTTTTGGCCTTTCTTCTTACCCATGCAAGTATTCTGGCATATATAAGGTATATACTGGAATGCATTCCTTTTTGCTCAGATGATTCTGAGGGTAAGATCCGGCTAAGATTCTGTTTCCAGATGCATTTGTAAAGTATATCTGTCCAGCAAGCAAAAAGAGGAAGGTGGATAGACGAGGCAAATACCTCCCAGAAGTCATCACCCATGTCATCAAGCCCTGAAATGGATGAACACTCAACTCTTCTTCTCTTTTGGCTCTTGGCAGTTTAGGCAAACGCATGCTAAATGCTGTTCAATGAAGATAAACAGTAAGTTACAGGCTGTGAGGGAGAAACCAGTGAGACGAGGGTTTGTTCTGCTCAAGGAAGGTTGCAGGCCATGCTGACAGATGTGGAAAGGCATTGAGGAGAAAAATATTCTGAAACCTCCCAGATCCCAGAAGACCAAGCCCAGAAGGCTGGTTGCACTGATAGAGCAGCACAGTTATCAATCAGAAGAAGAGACAAGCATGTTGTTTACAGAACTGCTTAACTTCTCAACAATGCCGTGCATATCGCACTTCAGAAAGGAGGGAGAGGTGTCAGCCCTCTTTTCTTTCTTTCTTTCTCTCCAAGGCTGCATTGGCTCAGGGGATCAGAAGACAGGATACTGGTAAATAAAGAACTTCTCAGAAAAGGCAAATGGTAAGACAATCCTGGAGAGAGCCAGCGGAGTGTAACGGATAAAGTGTCAAACTAGGACTCAGAAGATTTGGGTTCAAACTCCAGGTCAACCATGGAGACTCACTCACTGGGGGGTAAACCATTCCTTGAACATCTCACATACAGTACTTGGAAAACATTACTATTGTCTCTAGAAGTTTGGGGCAACCTGCCAGCATGCGATAATAGCAAGACATTACAGGAAGTCGGGAAGCTGCTTATATGGAGTTAAATCATTGCATCAAGCAGCTTAGTAATCTCCACAGTGACTTGCAACCGTTCTCCGGAGCTTTATACATACAGGAGTCTTCGCTGGCTCTATCCGGAGGGTTAACCGAGGATCTTCTGCATGCAAAACACATGCTCTCATCAGCTGTTGCCCTTCCAGAAAATTTCCACAGGCTGGAGGGGCCATGGTACGCAGAAGACACCTTATGTCACCACCAAGGCAGTCTTCTAGCCCTCGTAGTTTCAGTGCAAGGTACCATTCAAAAGAGGTCAATATTTCCAAACAAGTCAGTGCTAGCTAGGGAGCTGGAGGCCATTGCGTGGAGACGTAGCATAAAATAATTCAGCCAATTTTGTTGGTGTCAGATGAAACACAGCCTAAGTATAACAGCTAGTCCCAATCAGAGGAGACCCACAGAATCCACGGGATTTGGCAAAGGTCTGAATTGACACTGAGCAGTTGATTTCACAGTCCTACACTATCTGGGAGTAGCAAGTGGATTTAGGTCATAACTGTCTGCCCCAATCTGTGAATGATCAGACCCCAAGAATGCAGCATCAGTTCTTAAGGAATGTGAAATAAAGAATGACTCTTAAACGCATGCTGACAATGTTCAATATTAGAAGAAGAAGACGAAGACAACGAAGAAGAAGAAACAGCGGAAAAGAGGAGGAGAATATCCTTACGACCCATTTAAAGACCACATTGTACTGGGATGGTTGAACAGAGCACTGAACAGCTTTTTGACATTTTTGTCTTCTTTCAAATAAAGCCGACTGAGATAATGTGTTACTTGCTGAGAGAGAGAAAAGAGAGAGAGACATTGATACATCAATTACAACTTTTCAGAACACAATCAGCTGCAAGGGCAAAACATGTCATTTTAGGGCTGCTGGATCAGGTGTGTGTGCAAAATCTTTCATTCATACATCAGAGAAAATGAGTTATTTAAAAATGACAACACAGAAGGTATAGGAGGATTAAAAGGGAAAGAAGCACAGCGCCAAAGTTCCTCATCAGCTCAGAGAGCCAATGTGTCAGGTTACAGATCTCTTGTGCTTCCTCTTAAGACTTCTCTTTCATATTTTTAATTAAAACAGCTACAGTATGTATCTAAACTTTAGTTGCTGCTGCTGAGTTATTTTTACTCCTGCCTTAGAAAGGGAGCTGTAAATGCTTTAATAACTGAAGAGTTATCTTGTGGTACTGTAGCTTTTATAAGGGTATCCAGATTCTTTGCTGGAAAGCTGTTTTATAACTTCTCTCTTATTCAATCACAACATGGATACGTCTGCCATCTGCAACAGCACACTAGGGGGAACTACTATTTTTTTTTCCTGCTGGAAGCACATCAACGTTATAAAAAGGCAGCGTTTGTGCCATTCCTGCACAGATGCCGACGACGGAGCCTCTGCTTAAAAGGCAGGCAGCTAGTAAAAATCAAAAACAAACAGGCTTGTTCTGCAGGCGAGAGGAAGTGAATGCAAGGAATGAGCAATGAAGGAGCCACAGCAGTGCCAACTAAGAGGGTGCAGGAGACTGGAGAAGCCTCCTAAATCGGCTGGGGGTTAGGGAAAGAGAGCCTAGGCAACCCCAGAACAATAAATCTCAAAGCAAGCCGTATCCACAGCAATTTCCCACATTTTATGAGCCTCCGGAATGTCTCGCATAAGTGATGGAGCCGAAATAAAGGGGATGGGATTAAAAAGATTAACAGAGAAGAGAATTCTGTTTGTTATAGAATCACTGTCTGTAACCGGACTAGGGAGACCAGGCACTTCTTTTAATTGGAGCATTCCCATGATTGTAAACCTCTCGGCATGCAGACCTTATCTGGGACAAGCAGAATTCCTGTATGTTTTATGTCTAGTTGGCTAGCTTTCACTGCTGTGTTATAGCAGCCTCTCGCAACCTAGCAACCCCAAAATGTTTTGGGAGACAACTTCCCCCATCTGCAGAAAATATGGGAGTTAGAGTTTAACACATCTGGAAGGCAACAGGTTCTGGCAGGACGTGGTTGCAGGGGTTACACCCACACCTACGTATGGCAGGTATTCTTGGGTAAGCGACACATTCCCAGAGCACTGCAGAAGAAGTGGGGAAACACTTCTGCATACTTCATATCTAAAAGAGCCTAGGAGGTTCACCTTAAGTTGGAACTGCCCCGACAACATGTAATTATTACTTATGAAGCAGCAGGGAGGAGAATCATTGAGAGTTTGGAGGTTGGCTCTCATCAAATGAGGGTACAGTTGGTTCCAGATGGGTTGCACATTCTTTGAAGGATTAGATTCTCAATTTTGAAGTTCTATGCCTAACATTCCGCTGGGAGGGCAAGAGGGCTGCTACAACCATAAATTCCTCTTTACATGGTGGGTTTTCAGAAACCGCACTTAGTCCAAAACACCGCAGCCCAGTTGCCTTTCAGAACGAACCACCCTGTATTGTTCCACCTACAGGGGCTTTCAATACACATCTCAACTCAAATGAAGCTGTTGGTGCTTCCCAAAGTCCTAAATGGCTTGGGGCAGGGATATCAGATAGCTCACCTCTTCCCATATAACCAGCCACATCTCACCAATCAAAGAGAGTTGCACGATAGGAACATGGGATGTGGTCTTCTCTGTTACAACACAGGAGTTAGGGACGTCAGAGCAGGCACATCTTTATTTAGCACAGTATAAAGACAGATTTAGTCTGGCTTTTGATGGATTTTAAATGGTTTACACGATGCCGTGCTCTGTTCTTAAACTGACTGACATGATGATATAAGACTGTTTGGAGATGTGTGTCACCTTTTGGGGCACAAAGGAATGCTTTAACGGCAAAGAAATATGGCCTTCTCCATCGAAACAGCATAAAGAGGAAAGGGAGAATGCTGGTGCCATCACATCCTGCAGGCCAGCAAACCCTTCAAGAGCTCTCTATGTTCCCACCCCACCCTACCCCGCTTTCAGCCTACCAATTAGCCAAGAGAAAATTTTTAATCTGTGATTAAAGTTTAGTTAATTAATCACACTGAGTAAAGCTCACAACCCTATCACTAAGGAATTTTCATTTCTTCTCAGAAGACAAATTTCCTAATTAGAAGAGCTTAGTCCTCTTCCCCCACCCACATCTCGTCCCTGGCTGCACTGAGAACGGAAGAAGAGGTTTACCGCAGCTTGTTTGCTTCCTCTTTAGCAATGAAGATGCTCGGATCTGTCGCGAACGCCTGACTCTTCAGCAGCTGTAGCTCGACTTCCAACTGCAAAACAAGAAGAAGGGGTGCAAGTCAACTTTTTTGTGTGTTCGACTTTCCCACTGTCTACTTTGTTCCCAAATCAGAGACATCATTACAGGGGTATAGAATAATAATTGCATGACAGTAAGCCAATTCTGACCCATAGTGACTCCAGGGTTTTCTAGGTATAGAATATGCAGAAGTGGTTGACCCTTCCCTTCCTCTAAGGGGCAACCTTGGGACTGTGCAACTTGCCCAAGGCCACCCAGGCTGGCTCAACCATCAGGAGGCAATAGAACAGCCAACCTCCGGCTCTGCAGCTGAAGACCTAAACCACTGAGCTATCCAGCCAGTTTTACAGGTATACAAATGTTTGAAGAGATACAGTGCTGACCTCCGGCTCTGCAGCTGAAGACCTAAACCGCTGAGCTAGCCAGCCAGTTTTACAGGTATACAAATGTTCGAAGAGATACAGTGCTGTCAATCTGATGGTTAAGTCCATCACTAATTGGAATTTTGTGATGCTTTCCACCCTTGTCTAAGGAGAGAGTCTCAACATGTGAGTACACAATATCTCCTGGTAGAAAATGGCCTGTTTCCTGGGTGGGGCTGGGTACACCAACCTCTTTCAGGCTGCATCGCCATCTCTGCCCTAGGAGTGAAAAGGAACATCCAAGCTGTAGATTTCCTTGCCTCTTAGAGCCCAACAGCACCTTTTTGGACAACACCTTTCATTAAAAAAGGAAATTCCTTAAGTGCTGATTATATGCCATTGTCACAGCAGGAACTTTCCTCACCTCCAGTAATTTGAAAATTACCTCCCTTCATTTTATGATTGGTTTTGAGGACATTAGTATGTCCTTCCTTCCTTAATCGGTCTAATAGGCATGTTACTGTTCAGTCAACATACAGGCTGGTTATCTGTAACAAACTGAATTTAATTTAACTTAATTTATACTGTTGCCTTTATCCCCAAGAGGACCCAAATAGTTTGACCCACAAAATAGTTTCAGATACTCCTTTACCAATTCTCTCTCTCTCTCTCTCTCTCTCTCTCACACACACACACACACAGAGAGAGAGAGAGAGAGAGAGAGAGAGAGAGAGAGACTTTTGAATACAATCTAAACAGACTTTACTTTGCCTTGTGTCCTGTCACTTTTAGTAAGTATATTTCATACTGTTTGTGGCTTTACGTTACTTAATTTTTATTGGTTTTGTTTATTCTTTGATTTAACATTTCCATTGTCATTTTATTTTACTATGTTGTGCACCACCCTGAATAGTGCTCGCACTAAAGGAAATAAAAAGAGACAGTCAGGCAGCCAGGCAAGATAGCACCAGCTAAAGCAGTTCCGTACTTCCAGGCCCATGACATGCCGGTGTATCCTGATTTAGCTGAAGATCATCCAAAACATTAACACCTGTATAATGCCACTCTCTCTTCCCCCACTAGTTCACAACTAGAGGACCCTGTGAAGCAGTAGCAAGCAGTTAGAAAGCAACAACGGTTTAAAGAGCAAGAGATATCATTCCCGTAACACAGTAGTCCCCAACCTTGGGCCTCCAGATGTACTTGGACTTCAACTCCCAGAAATCCTGGCCAGCAGAGGTAATGGTGAAGGCTTCTGGGAGTTGCAGTCCAAGAACATCTGGAGGCCCAAGGTTGGGATACACTGCCGTAACATACAGCAGGGATCAAGAACTTGATGGATCTGAGATACTGCACAGATTGTCAAAAACAGAAAAAATGAAACAAGTGGTCCTAAGCCTATTTCTAGTTTTGAAAAAAATGGGATTTTCCTTTTCATGTTAAGCCACGGATGGGACCCTGTGACCTGTTTAAAAAGTAAAAAACTGCTCCCAGAGGCCCTTTTAATGTTGGGGAAATACTCTCCTACTGGCAGCGTTGAGGAGGCCAGAAACCATANGGGGGGGGGGGGGGGAGAAGGGGCAGGGCTGGCTGCACATAGCCCAATTTATCCATCTCTCATGCCATATCCCTTTCACAATGCAAATTAACAAACGTTCAATGGAAAAGCGTTTATCATCGTTGCCAGTGCAATTATGTCCATTTGTTAAAATCTTCCGCGGAGACCCTGCTCATTAGCTCACCGGCAAGAATGAGTGGGTTGGCAGGTATGAGAGGCAGGGCCTTCTCTGTGGCGGAGTTAGCCACAGTTCTGGAAGTGTCTTGCTACGGTTCTCGCTCTTAGTTCCTTGTAGCTTTTTGGGGTATACAAGCCTTTGAATGGCCCACTAAAACATTATTTAACAACAGAGGCCAAAAACATCCAAGTCTCTCTTGCCCTTGGGCAGACAGCTCACACAATTAATACAAACAATTATGGGGAAACATATTGTGACTTAGGTCTACCACTGAAGTCGGTCTTGGACAGCGTACTTTAATTTAGTCCCTTGCACCATACTGTGATGAACTGAAGTCAAACCACTGAGTCAACCGCTGAATTGCAAGCCAAGACTTCTGGAAATCCCATTGATTCAATGAGTACTCTGAAGTTAGGGCTAGAAATTACATTCATTGCTATCTGGCAAGTGCTGTTTACTAAAAAGTGCCCTGGGAACATTTAAGTAAATAAGAAGGGGCTTGAGATTTTTGAGAAAACGTTTCTTCCGCTTGCTTCCTACATGCAGTTACAATGACATAACGGGGAACTGCAGCTGCACCTGTATCCTCCCATTCTAGCAAAGAAAAAAAAGGTTAATGCACATGGGTCGGCAGATAAGATTATCACAGCAAGAAATGCTGTCCTCAATTTTCTGATTACTGAGCTCCTCCCTTTCCTCGCAAAACCCATCACCGATGGCCAGGATAAAACAGGTGCGCTCAGTAATTCCAGGGACGGCGCCTTCCACGGCTTCAGGCGAGCCTTGCAGGAAACTTTCAATTCCACCCCACCCTTCTAAGCACAAAGTCATTTATTATGTGCTCTGCTTTTCCTTTCCTGCCGAAGGTTGCAGGGAGGTTTGCTATTATAGTTTTGTGCTGTTCTCGGGTCTGTTGGTGCGGACAGCATCCAAAGATGCAGGGCCAGTAAACAGGCTATTTATCATTGGTTAGCACAGCTTCAGCCTTGAGTCCCACTGCCACCTGCTCTTTTGACATCAGCAGATAAATTGCCCCGGATCCTTTTAAAGGGAAAGGCGAGAGGCTAGTCATAGATCGCTGCAAGCTTATGATCATGTGTTTATGGTGGAAGGAAAAAGTTTGAACCTATTACTAAAGTGTGCATACATTTGTGTGAGCAGCAACATCTCCTGCGCTTGGTAGAATGCTAACCTAATAGGTGTTCTTAACTCTGGTGATCTGGTTGCCATTCCCACCCACTGCAGAAACAAAAGCACCTATTCCGCTTAAATACATACTGACTCAAAGGAAGTATTAATTACTGAATGACTGACGACTAGGAACCTTGCTGGGAAACTGATATCCAATTTAAATGAAAACTTCACTTGATCATTCAAATTATTATATTATTGCTTCTTCATACAAATTAGAAGCATAGCTTTATGAGTAGCTCAATAATCCTAATGAACCCCATCAACCACTTAAGAACACAGCTCTGTTCAAGATCAGGGACTCGGGTACCTCCCTGCACAGAAAGCTGTTGCCGACGTAGAGTAGGGCCATTCCTCACATTAGCCAAGGCCTTTATGGCATGACTGAAGACACCATTGTGGGAATGGAGACTTTTCTGACAACATCCATGGATCTTGTGAAAAGAGGTGACGCATGGGGTGAAATTAAAATAAGATCAAGCACTTTGATGGTGTACCAGCACGTCTAAAATAAGCGAGATGTTCCTTTGTAGGCCCTCTATCAGCTGCTTCCATTGTGCACAGATGACTTCCAATGCTTTTCCATAAATAGAAAACATATGTGACCTGAAGAGAGAACCTTGGAAGTGTAAGGCTCCACCTTAGGCTAAAAAGTTACTTAAATACTGAGGGCCTGCAACTGGCTATGGTACCTATAAGTGCAGGTGATTTGGCCTCCTGTCTTTGCCTTAGTTGACCGAGCAAGGCCTTCCAAGCTTGGCACTGCAGCTTCAGCATTCTCTTCCTTCCTGCTTCACTTTCAGGAAGCACAGCCTCCTGGTGTAGATCTGGACATGGCCATTGATGCTCTGTTTGGCCTTGACATATTCTGTCAGAATATCCCCCATTAACAGAATTGATAGAAAAGAACTGTGCTTTAAAGTCTGCCTGATATAGAAATCCTACCGGAACACTCAGCAACAGGTAAGGGGTACAAAAAGTTCAAACCTCTCATGTTTTCCATACACTCTTAGGAGTGTGATTATAATTGTACGAGCTTTATTCCTTCATCTGGTTTCTTGTTTTCATATGGGTGGGTAGTTGTGTGTGTGTGTTTTGCTTTGCTTTGTGTGCCCCCACAAATCCTGTGCAAGCTATAAACCCTGCTACACAACATTACTGGCACAAGAGGGAGGGAGCTCTTGAGAAGGGGGGGGGAGATGGACCAGAAGGGGCTACACCTATTATGTGTCCAGAGTTTGTAAGAAGCACCCGACATCCCCAGAGCTGAAGGGACAGAGAGAGCAAACACAGACATGAAGACCTGAGCTACCAGCTGGTGGTGGAAAATGGGACATATGTGCAGGCCCAGAGGTTTAAAAAGGCTTTGTAGGGACAGAGAACTAAAAAATGGGAGGGAGGAAGAAACTGTACAAGGAAAAGGGACTATAAAGTTGTCATTGGTTTGTTTGTTTTAAATGTTGTGCAATAATGGATGATGTGCTGCTGCTAGCTTTCTCACAATCTGATCAAATGATGACAAATTATATCCATAGATGACAGCATGTCATGACACCTCCTCCCAAACCCTGACAAATAAATGTCCCAACGGGGCCATTGTGATTTTATTGTATGTATTATTGGATGTAACTGGACCAAATTCCTTATTGTCACTATGACACCCACGTCCACAGTCTCAGATGTTAGATGACCTGAACTGCATATTACACTGCAGGGGAGTGCAA